TTCCTTTACGGTACCAATCAAAAATGGTTTACCTAGTAAGACTCGTGCTATTAATTGAAAGACTCTTATAAGTACAAATTAGATATCAGTCCCATAAAATCTGATGATGTAATTCTAGCATAAAAACTAGGGAATCATTTCATCTCTCCTTTTTTAATATTTCCGTACGACCATAGTCTAACACCATGCGGAAAATCTTTCTCAGCAGAGGTAAAGATCAGTATCAGTTTTGAAGCTTAATAAAAAAATTTATGGCAAACAGTATATCCATTGTAGCTGTGGTCTTAAAATGAGCAATATAAGAGCCTTCGTTAAAGCCGTAAAGGACTCCATCATTACTTATCCATTGACTGCTGGAAATTTCATTGAGGATGGAACTGGACATTATAGATCAGATGGGAGGATAGCAGCTACGGTTACTGCTACATGCCTTACTTCCATATGTTTTGCACTGGTGGCGGTATTTGCAAACAGTCGAGTTGAAAATGCGGTATCCTACATGGTAACCTGGATCATTAGTGAGACCATTATACTTTCTGCCATTGTGGCCTTGATCTGGATATCAGTACTTGCCTACAGAAATACGAATACTTGGTATCAAGAAAGTTATTATCCTAGAGGACAAAAAGAAGGAGCCAAAATAGGTATCACTTTCTTATGGATATTTGGATTAGCCACCATTGTTGACAAGTCCATTGAATTGTCAATCGATGTTGAGTGCGTCGATGTTAGCAACTCAACTTTTACTTTAATATCAAAACGCTGGCACTGGATCTTTACGGATGTGGCTTGCATCGTTTTTTACTGTATTCAGCTAGGGTTTATTTCTTACTTTGCAGGATACAAATTGGGAAAACATCTTGCTATCAATTACGGTATTTTGTTGGTTCTGTTGACAAACACTGTTCAGTGGTTTATTTCCTTGATGGAGGATATCAATGATTATTACACAGAGGGTCAGGTTCCGGGATCAGATATAGACCCCTGTTTCTGGAACTCAAAAATTTTGCAAAATGTCATGGTAAATCTAAATCCCTATCTTTCTCCAGCCATAATCGAGTTTTTTATGTTATCTGCAGGACTAATACTAGGAATGCTTCCTTCAGACAGCAAAGATCAAATCCCTCAATCGAACACGACTGATTTTAATGAGTCCACATCACTAATCCATCCACTTCAATTAGAAATCCAAAGATCGTATGAAAGACACCCTGCAACTCACTTTTTGTTTATTATTTTTACAATTGTTGTGAATATTACTTTTGTTGTCATGGAGATAATATTCTACAAGGTAAGCCCCAGAAGTTACAGCGTTTTCTGCACATTGATTGTTATTGATATCTTTTATAAACTGATAATACTCAGTGTCATTATGATAATATATTACCGGATATATAAATTCGGGCATCAAAAAGAAAACCAACACACCTTGTCTCCGGGACAGTATATTTTCTTGCTGGCCGCTGCAGGTACTATAGCTAATGGAGCTTGTGGGGTATTAGCAGGGATACAATTCCCAAGTTTAAAGGGGTATCTTTATACAACTGATAAGGCTTTTGACGTCTTTTTAACAGTGTGGCAATCCATTTTAATCATTTATATAGAAAGAATTACGCTGACCAATGAACCAGAGAGGAATCTTGTTCCCTCTGATATCCTCTGCTTTTACCTTGCTATTAGTAACTTCATATACTGGTTTGTGAATAGTTTTATTGACGTCAAACACGAGGAGTCTTATCACATGTTGGGATGGATCTTTGATGAAAATAAATGGGAAAATGTTCAAGAAATTCTATCCCCTATGATGATTTTTTATCGCTTTCACACATTTTTAGACTGGTATGTAGTTTATCGTAGACTCAAGCAAACGAATTAAACGCATACAGAAAATGTACGTCAATGAGGAGTCATAAATTGAGATTCAAATGTATATTTTGCAATAAAATTCTTTATGTTGTCATACTGTCATTTGCAAATTTTTCTTTTTAAACTGAATGTCGCCATTATTTCCTTATAACGAAAAGGAGATGGGTGAACAAGGCGCACAGGATGCCTTTAGCTTCAGATATATAAAAATCCTAATTAATTTGTGAATTTAGTATTTAGAGTAAAGTTCTCATTATTAAAATTAATGAAATTATGATTAAAAAAAATTCTGAGGAAAATTTTATCGGCAAACATTATTCTGTATTTAAAAAAATAATACGGTATTCGTGCGGGTCAAACCCTAGCAAGAAAAATCCTGAGTATCATTTTCCTTTGAGACTATCACGCTAACCACTACGCTGCACAGCTCTTGAAGAAAAATGGCATTTAAATCATGTTTCTGATATGACCCTTTACGAAATAGACTTCAAGTATTTCTCGGAAAGTTGCGATTTTTGTGTCATAAAAGTGTATTTTTAAGGTATAGTGGGTCTTTGCTCCATGATTTTGTTGACCAAAAATGTATATTTTTTTTGGCAAACTTTGAGGATAAACTTTGAAAAATATGGAGCGAAGACCCACTCATATTGAAAAATTGTGTTTTAGTACGAGAAAACGATCCTTTTTGCCCACTCTAGTGTGTGTATGCTATTTCATAGACATGAGTAAGATTACTGCAAATTGTGAAGATTTTACATAAAGTATACTTTAAATTTAGATGAAATATTAAAGAAAGTTCTGTTACAATTAAGATTTAATTTTACATCTTCATGTTTGTTGCACTATAGGCATTGCGCTCGCCTTGTTCGCCCAACTTGTTCATAAAAGTTATACAGTAAGCTCTTTTAATATATATATATATATATATATATATATATATATATATATATATATATATATATATATATATATATATATATATATATATATATATATATATATATACAACAAAAACTATTGTTCTAATTAACGACTTGTTGTCCTACTAAGTAGCCTCAGTAAAAAAAAATAGTGCCTACCTAACAGATGTATGAAGTCCAGAACACGTCCTACCAAAAGCTAAGCTCAAAAACGAATGATTCAACCCTACACGACCTAAACAAAGCGACAAAATTTCATTTTAAAATTGAAATGATGGTAAAATAAGCAATAACAGACCACCTGTTGCCGTTTTCTATACTGAGTCATGCAACATGTTCCATGTGATTGATCAATATTCTCGGTCGTATTTGGGGGTTCTGTTTTTTTAAAAGGAAGTAGTATGCATTTTAAAAAAAGGAGATGTTTGTGAAACACTTATGCCCCCCCCCCCCCAATAATTGGAATTTTTCCAAGTCCAAGGGGCATAACTCTGTCAAAAAAATCTCTATCACTAGTTTTAGATCTTAAAAAGTTGTATTATGTTTGTACTCTTATGCCTCATGTGAGGCCTTGAGTGAATAAAAAGTTTCAAAGTACCCAAGACAAAACTTGACCTATATATTTTTATGATAAATCTGTATACCAAATTTCATTTCAGTATGTGCAACCTCTCCAAAGAAAATGAACGGAAACTGCCAATAAATGGAATTTTCCAAAGTCCAATGGGTGTAACTCTGTCCAAAATTGCTCGATCATACCAAAAACATAACTTGGCCTAGATATTCTTATGATAAATCTGTATACCAAATTTCATTTCAGTATGTGCAACCTCTGCGAAGAAAATGAACGGAAACTGTTGGTGGACCGACCGACAGACAGACCGACCGACAGACAGCAGTAAAGCAATATGCCGTCCCTCCTTCGGATCAAAAGTGACCTCATCTGAGTTTTATGGACCCGGAGCCCTGTGTTTTTGGTTGGTTAAGCGTACATCAGCTTTATATATATATATATATATATATATATATATATATATATATATATATATATATATATATATATATATATATATATATATATATATATAATCGTGATAAATAAATAATATGATCTATGAAATCACTACATGAGAAACCATCATCATAGTCTCTTCAAGGAGGAGTAAAGGGTAAGCATTTTCCCCCTAGGAATCAGTAACGCGGAAGTCATAACAGAGCGTTTTCCTTGTACATATATGTATAAGTTTGTAAATAATGAAGTAGTTTGTTGAATGCCAGTGTCCTCAATAATATCTTTAAAAGGACAGACAACGAGGTCATTCGATAAATTCATTTGTTTATATTTAATATTCCGTTCAAAGTTTACTCGTGTCACTAAAGCCTCATCGCTTTAAAACAAATTCAGTCAACTCTTTGATAAAACTTCATTTTCTACAGCATGAGCTGAAATTGATATCCCCATACATGTAACTGAAAAATCTAAGTTTTTATTTCAGAAGGCGCTGAGCAAATTTCTCCAAAACTTAACTTAGCACTGGAGTAATAACTTGGCTGTTACTAAAATCAGCCTGGTATAATGATTTCGTAGATGAGTATTAACGCCTGTTTATAATAATGGAATTCCATAATTTGCTTTTCCTGTTTATTTTTGCTATGCTCAATGTAATACTTCCTTAACTATTCATATTGCCTCTTAGTTTCTACATGCCAAATGTCCTTAGTGCTTCGATTATTTTGTTTCAAACGAGGAAATAATGTTTTAAGATTCCTGTATTACTCGACCATAAAAAAGACATGAGGCAAGTATATCATTTATGACTTTCATTTGTTTAAAAGCAAGGAATTTTGTTTTTGATTTATTTGCTTTTTAATAAAAATAGATTTTGTGATTTTAGTTGGCAGGTGAAATTCTGTGATATAGCAAAGGCTGTTTGTCATGCTGTAATTTTGGATCCACTTACTGCCGGAAGTACACGTGACCCAGCAGAACCACAAAGTCATCACTCAGACGGACAGATAGCAGCCACAGTAACCACAACCTGTCTTACTTCTATTTGTTTCGTCCTCGTCGCTATCTTTTTAGGAGAGCGTTCTGAAAATGAAACTGCGTACTCTACATTGTTGGCAATCATATTAGTAATTGTGATGATCGCCATTTTTGCTATCTTATGGATATCTGTTGTCGCTCATTTAAACGCAGAAACCTGGTGTAGGAATGATCAAACAGAACACAAAGATGGTCTCAGAATTTCCATAACTTTTTTATGGGTGTTTGGTATGGCGTCTGTCGCTGAAGAGGCGTTAGAAATGGCGATCAATATAGGTTGCTTAAATTTTAGTCATAAGTTGAATACGACAGGTTACAAATTGCGATGGTTCACAATATGCAGTAACATAAGCACAATTTTATTTTACTGTATTCAAATTAGTTTCGTAACTTATTTCATTAGATTCAACTTTGAAAAGTACATTTCCATAAATTATGGTTTACTATTCACTCTGATGACCAATGCTGTATTGTGGTTCATCTCAGAAATGGAGGAAATAGATGGATATTACGAAAACTTCGATATACATGCAAACAGATCACAAGATCCATGCTTTTGGAATTCAAATATAACAAGAGAAGTTCTGTCAAAACTCAACCCTTACCTTTCACCTGCAAATATCGAATTCTTCTTGCTCTCGTCGGGTCTAATTCTGAGTATGATGCCAAAACATTCTCAGAGTGATTTAGGTGAAGAAGAAGAGCAGACGCCCGAGGAGTTGGTTCCGATTCTTGGTCCAACTGAAAGACGACATCTGAGAGAAAGGCCCCACCAACTCCACCATCCAGTCACACACTTTGCTTTCATAATCATCGTTATCATTGTAAATCTGACACTGATTACAGGCAATGTTGTATTTGTATTCGTTTTGCCAGATAGCAACAGTATGTTTTGTACATGGTTAGTCATTGATACACTTTACAAACTGATTATGTTGATAGTCATATTGCTGATTTATTACCATATCCATATCTTTGGTGAGACGGAGCCGAGAAGGCATCATCTAAAACCAGGCCAATACATTCTACTTATATCTACCATGGGGACAGTAGCCGTCTGTGCGTTTGGAATGATAGGAGGAGTCCAAATCCTCCCAGCTTTCAAAGGACATATTTATATAACTGACAACTCCCTTGACATCACTGTTGCTTTCTTACAGACTGTTCTATTGATACACATGGAACGGATTAACCGATTGAACTCGGAAGGCAACCATATTCCTACAGAACTTCTATGCGTTTTTCTAGCCCTTTGTAACATAACATACTGGATTCTTGATAGCTTTATTGATGTCCGATATATAGAATCGAAACACATTACTGGTGAAATATTTGACAAGGAGAACTGGGATGACGTACAAGATTTATTGGCGCCAATGCTAATTTTTTATCGGTTTCACGCATTCCTTGATTGGTACGTTATATACTGTAAATTTAAAAGAATGTACAAATAAATGATAAAGAGAAATTTGGATATTTTCATTTTGTTTTGAACTTTCTTTTTTATGCAGATAAACTGACACATTTATTTTGAACGTCTTTAAAACAATTTCAATTTTGTTTTGTCTTAACAGTTGTGATATACATGTACATTTTTCTCAGTATTCTCTTTCTTGCCTTTATTTTCAAGGGGGAGGGGGGATAAACATAATTTCATTTGCTGGGGGGAGGAGGTAAATGTCCATGTGCATGGTTTTGGCAATTCGGCACACATTATAAAATCCCTATTTTTCAGCAGGTAAAAAGAATTATAATTATGATTTAGCTGATTAATTTGATAAATTTGATTATTTTTTTCCCATTAAAATACCAATGCATTGTTTAATGTAAAAAGAGGAGTGTCTATTTAAAAAAATGAGTGTTAATAGTAGGTTAGATTTTTTAAACAAGCCTTTTTGTGCTCCGCTGTTTTTCAGTGTTTTATTGGAGGTGATCCTTGGAGATCATGGATGGAAAAGCTAGCTGTTGTCAATTCAGGCCATGCAGTTGTACTCATCTCTCTTATCATTGACTTCAAATTTTGATATTTTATTAAAAATAATTTTTTTCTTCGCCGTTTCTCAAGCACATCAAATAAATTTATAACCCAACCTTATGCTATTATATATGCCAACTGTGGGTCGAAAATCGATATTTACCTACAAAAACCATGTTCCCAGAAATCATTTTACATTTTTACAGGAACAAATTCATCCTATAGAATGTCATTAGTGGTGGTGTGTATATATGAGTAAGGTTTCGGAATTTTCATTTTTAACCTGTAAGACAATTTGATGGTCCATAAATGACGTTTACCTTTGACTTTGATCACCTAAGAATTTTATGCTTATTTGATATCTGTGTATTCCTGTAAATAAAATAATAATTGTGGCTTCTTTGTTAGATATCCAGTTATGAATACTAGTACATTTAGAGGCAAACACGTATGTGTGGGTGTTACCGTTTTATGACAGCATCTATTTGTTTGCTTTTTCTGCAGGGCTTTTATCGTTTTAAAAAAAATCTTAATTAACAGAGTTTTGTGTATATTACTCTTAGTTTGCTTTCGGCAACATTGCAATATCTCGTGCTCGAGTACAGAAGTTTGTGTTTGAACAAGGAATTTCAATGAATCTGCTAAATAAGAAAATGAATCAGCAATTAACTAACCTCTAGTCATAATGAGAAAGAGACCTTCCTGTCTATATTGACATTTCACAGGCAGACTTTTTCATCAAAAGTATTGGCTAAGAGCTCGAAAAGGAATCACCTAGATTCTGATGCAAGATAGCTTGAATGACATTTTGTACTTGTAAAGTGATAAATATTTGACGACGTGATTACAAGACATGGTTCATGTTGGTTAAAAAATACTTTCATAAGTAAATTATCACTTTTTTCGACGCAAATGTCAAACAACGTGAATAATGCATCATATTGGTAATTACAAATTTTGTTAATATATATACTTATTTATTTCTGGTAAAAAAAGAGAAGATTTTCGATAACATAAATGGACAACCAAGACTATTTAAGATTTTAGTTTTCAAGTACCTATATGAATTAATCAACTCAAGAGTTTGAGTAAATAACAAGAAAAATTTTCAATATGATTTTTTGGCATTATTTGCGGGAAAAATTTTACAGAAAGATGCAAGAGGAAAACAGTTTTGATTCCACATTTTAATACATCATTGTTTGACATATTATAGGATCTTTTCCTTAGGGCTTAAACTTGATTAACTAAATTTAAGAACTTTGAATTTAAGAATGAGCGATAAAGCTAGATATACATCAGAAATATGAGAACACACCCCCTCCCCCACTCTACATAATATGTTGTGTGCGCGCTCTCACTTATTTTGACACTCTCCCATTTCGAGAAGAGTAATGACCATTTTTTGTTCAGTTCTTCATCTGAATGTACATCTTTGTTTTGCATTTCAAATGAAATTGCTAAAGCATTGTCAGGTTTAGGAAGAAAGACCAGCATTATCAACTAAATGGATCATTTGTTCACAGGATATACCTTAATTTATCCCGTCTTGTTTATTACAGAAAGACATTTCAAAAGCTAGAGGCAAGATTAATAACACGTTGGGTGCCTATTTGTAATTTGTCTTTCAATCCACGCAAGCACTGAAAAAAGATTACCCACAGAATCAAATACTGATACTAGAGATGATGTAGCTTTTTTGGTCACCTGAGCCGAGGGCTCAAGTGAGCTTCTCTGATTAGTGTGTCCGTCTGTCGTCTATAAACTTTTCATATTTTCGACTTCTCAAGAACCATTGGGCCAATATCAACGGTGAACCAAACTTGCCACAAAGAATCCTTGGGTTAAGGGGATTTAATTTTGTTCACAGGAAGTGCCACGCCCTCTATCAAGAATTCGTGAAAATTTGGTGGCATCTTTTAGAAATATTCTTCTCAAGAACCACTGGGCAAGAAAAGATGAAACTTATGTGAAAGCTTATTACATACTTTAAGTTTCAAGTTTATTCATATCATAAGGTGGGGCCACATGAGGGTGTTGAAGTTTTGCATAGGAATAAATTGGAAATGTCTTCAAAATCTTTTCGACAACAGCAAAGCCATGATTAGTTATATTATTATAGAAGTATCCTCAGGTAGTTTAGATTCAAGTTTGTCCCAGTCATGACCCCTTGGGTAGGCTAGGGCCACAACAGGGTCAAAGTTTACCATAGGAATATATAGGAAATATCTTTAAAAATCTTCTCAAGAACAGCTACGCCATTATTAGTTATATTATTAAAGGTATCCTCAGGTAGTGTAGATTCAAGTTTGTTAAAATCATGACCCCCGGGAGTAGGGCGGGGCCACCACAATTTTGCATAGGAATATATAAGAAATATCTTTAAAAATCTTTTTTCTCAAGAACAACCATTATTAGTCATATAAATACGGAAGCAACCTTATGTATTGCAGAATCAAGTTTCTTGAAATTACGACCCCCAGGGGTTGGGGACACAACAGAAGGTCAAGGTTTTACATACGAATATATAGGAATCATCTTAGAAAAAAATCTTCTAATAAAGAACAGCAAAGCCATGAATAGTCATATAATAGAAGCATTCTCAAGTACTGTAGATTCAAATTTGTTCGAATTTAAGGTGGGTAGGGTGGGACCACAATGAGCGATCAGTTTTACATAGGAATACATAGGGAAAAAAGTCTTTACAATTCTTCTGCTCAAGAACAGCAAGGCCATGACCATTAATATTGATATGGAAGCATACTGAGGTAGTATGAATTAAAGTTTGCCCCCCCCCCTTTAATTAACTTTTCAATACTGAACTGATTTCTGCTTTTTTCCTAGCCAATGTGAGCTATGTGGCCCATGAGCCTCTTGTTTAGTTATGTCACTGCATATTTACTTATATTAGGAAACATATACCAGGTGTTGATGTTATTCCGCGCTAACGAAGCAAAAAATGAACTAAAACATGCAGAACTACATGTTCTAAAAAAACATTGTCGTACATGACTTCAAACAGAATTTAATGTTTTGTTTTTCTCGTCTCAAGCAAACAAGAATTGGAGCGCATTTCTCGAGTCTGGCAGTCAATGGCTGATTATCACCAAGCATTCATTGTTAAAATAAAGCTACATGTACCTAAGAGTTTGTTAAATATCTATATGCCTAATAACAATTATATCAAAATGAAAGATAAGCCCAACTTATTTATATGAATACAATGTACAGTGTAGTTACAAAAAAAAAAATAATATTTGTACATTAATTATTTGTTCATATCAATCTAGTAAGCAGCAAAAAGAATTTGTCAGACTAGAACTGTCTGTTAAAATTGAATATCAATCATCTTTAATATGTACTGAATTGCTTGAGCGTTATTTTCTAAGAGGTAGAATGTTGTTGTATACGTATAACTAATTAAAAGCAAAATTAATATAATCATGTTGAAAGTTTTAATCAATTCCATAATTAATGCAAGAATTTTTTTTTCAAAACAAAGAAACATAACAGAACATAATATACTAGGATCGTGACTTTGATTCAAGAATTTTAATAAAGATAAAAAATTAAAGAGATATGATTGCATTTTCATTGTTAGGAAAATCAAAACAAGGAGAACACCAAGTCATGTCCTAGATTAAGGCAACAGAAAAGGCTAGTCTGAATCAAATTCAGACTTAATAATTACATAGGTACATGTGTATACAGCAAAGGAACAACGATGGCTTCCTCGTGTGCAAGACTTGCACCATACAACTAATAACACATTTGTTCGTTAAAATTGCACCAATTAAACATACATTGTACGTATCGAATAGTGATATTTCCGAGAGAAAAATCAAGGATATAAATACTTGTTACCTTCTGACCTGCAACCTTACCAAAATATTTTCCAAAAGTCTTAAAAGGCACTGTCGAACACGTTTACTGAATAATAGATACCACAAGGGGTAAAAACATGCATTAATGTAAAAAAGCAGACGACACACGACAAGTGTGAGTACGCGGGAATCCGTAGACAGGAAGTCCAGAATTCCAGGAATTCCCAGCACCAAGAGCGGAAGTGAGCAAACCAAATACGCCACAAACATTATAAAACTGTTCTTTGTTGCGCTGCTTAAACTTATTCTGTCTCTCCTCAGTGACTGGTTTCGTAACGCTGACGCATTTTTGATGTTCTGGATTCTCTGCAAGTTCCCATCTGGAGATATATCTGTAAATGTGCAGTGTTTGGACTTTGTTGATTGTGTGCTCGTGTTCGAGAGAGTTGGCTTTAATGGCCTTTTTTCGAAAACGTTTTGTTTTAACTTTGTGGCAAGGATTGGATTTTCAAGAGCAAATATGTCTTCAAACGTAAGTGCATGTTCACTGCGTTGGTAATGCACGATGATATCATCACAGTTACCAGAGGATATAGTATACGGTTTCACAAAATCGCTGTCACTATTCAACTGCTGTGTTTGGTCAGCTGAATCAGTCCCTGGGTCAGAAGACAGACTCAAGTTTCTATTCCATGGCGATACTCGACTTTTCCCAAAAGATCCAGTCAAATTCAGAGATTTGCAAATATTATAGTACGACGAAAAAATAATAACAAGTCCAGTTATATATATTCCGAGGTAAATAACCAAAACAACCAACTGTTCTGATGTAAGGCGTTTAGTACTATCACAACTTCGAAATTCCCTTTGGAAGGGGTTTAATGTATCACAAGCCCGATCATCATTTGGCATAAAAGATAAGCAGAAAATAATAGAAAGTAACACTGAAGTAATCCAGCTACATAAAATTGAACGTGTTACCATTCTTTTTCGCATGCGTAGACATAATGACGGTCGTTTGATAGTTGTCTTTCGGTAGATGCATATAGATGCGAATGCACACAAGTACTGCAAAGAGCAATTTGAGACAATAAACAATTGGAATCCAGTGAAAGACTGAACGTTGACGAGATCTTCTCTCCTTGTTCCGACACTTACCAATGATAATATCATACAAAAACACAAAAGGACGTTATTCACCCCAATATTCAGCAGGTGATTGTTTGGTGGAGTTCGCAGACTCGGCGCATTAATAATTGTCATCATCAGTAAAACGTTTGTCAGCAGGCTAAACACTATGTCAATACCCATGAACACGATGCTCAACACTACCACATGGAGAGATAAAGGTGTGAACCTTTCCTCTGTAATATTTGTGTCGTTTAACATTTTTTTCCCAATTTGATTCAGGGGATGCTCATTTTCAATCTACAAATTAAATCATACAGTAATAAATCTTGCTGATACTAAATAGAAATGTCCCTATGGTAAAACATAGTCAGTGCAAATTCGAACTTGCGTTTATTAAAAGTCGTGAGTCCAATTTATTGCAACCTGATCTATTCTTAAGGTGTAAAAAATTCTATCTTTTGTTTTAGCTTTCATGCTACATGTATACATAGTGTAATTATAATTGTGAAATTAACACATATAAATTCAGCAAATTGGCAGTGTTTATATATAAGTAGGTCGTACACAACAGTAGACTAAGTATAGAGCCCACTTTAACAGTTTGCGACAGAAAGGGAAAGATGAAATGCCATTTGATGCGTCATATGTCGGCAAATGTCATTCAACTAATCATGTAGGATATCTGATATGCTTTTAAACAGACATATATATAGGTTGCAATAGATAGATTACTTGTCTTATGCAAATATGCATAACATCTCTGGAAAACTTCTTCCCTCATCACACTTTATGAGCATGAAGTCAATCTAACTCAAGCACCCATTTCATCTCATGAATTTGTACAAAGTGCCCCGAGGCAAATCCTGCCAGAGCTTATGGTTAATATTATAAAATTTGTCTAGTGTACCCTCCTAAGGAAATGAAATAATAACCTGTGAGTTACATAAAAAAATATTTTTTCAACTACGAATTTTCTTATAGGTGATATCTTGAGCTTCCCTCTTTTTCTTTTTGGCTTCTCAGAATTTTCCCCTCCATGTGATACCAACAGTCATAATACATACGTGTAGGTTGTTTAATCTTTTTATTAAACCAATACCAGAAAGATTTACTATAATTAATTGTATATTATAAACGTTTGATTTCCCCTTTTGAGTGTAGTGTTCGTTAAGACACCAGATGAACGACCTTAAAATAAATACGGTTTTAGAGAATTCCTCAGTTTTAGGCCCTATATCATCGAGTTTCAGGCGAAAAAACACGTTAATGTCCTAGAAAGATACAAGATGGCGACGATGTGTACCTTGTGGTATATTGGGTAGGCGGTACAGGGGTTATTCTTATGATAAGAAATAAACATAAGTGTCATGATTTAAGTAGGTAAATTGGTAAAGTGGTCAATTGTTTATTATTTTTTAATATATAATTATGAAATATGTGGAGATAACGAACAGTATTCGAGCTCAAAATATAAGAATTTTCTTCCTGCATTTGTTATGAGTCCAGATTATTAATGGCGATGTGGTATAAGAATTCTGTTTTGTTTTGTTTTTTTTTAACAGGGAAACTAGTGGAAATGCATTTATATTCAGCAAATGCAAAACCATCTTTGTATTACTTTTCAAACCATATTGTGAAATAAAGTAACAACTTTAAATGCAGCAAGAGGACAATGTTTATATAATATATACATGTATGTACGAGAGCATAACTGTAAAGCATACTTTTATATGCATGACGCCCATGCAAACTGTTTGCGGCACAAATGCATGTACACATACCAAAATGTCATGCCATAAGTCATATGTGCATGCACCTATAAGAGAAAATATTGTATCTAAATAATATCAACTATGTTTTTTTTTATATAAATGTTTGTGCATACATGACACAATAGATATATTTCTCAAAGAGTTCCACACTCAATCATATTTTATGGATATTAATGGGAGACCAGTTTAAACATCCATACCACCTTATTATCGGTAGGGCTGTTGGAGTGATCAGTTCGATAGATAGACTTTTGGTATCAATTATTTAAATTATCCCCCTTTACATCTTATGGAGTAAGATTTAAAAACTTAAGTTATGATGTAAATAGTTTGATACTGACTTTTATTTCTTATCTATCGGCTATTTTAAACATATTTCTAATCTTAAAAGTACATGTACATGTATATCATGTCAATTAAATAAAGAAAGAAAAGGATGTCAAAATAGTCACGTAAAGTTTAAAATTTGCTAGGGATAGTCACGTAACGTTTTGAATATGACAATGAAAATCTAGATGGTTGTGTGAATGGACACCAACAAACGCTTAAATTATGACTACATGTACATATTTAATAACATTAATATTTACTGATTTAAGTGATTACTGAAAGTTCAGTGACGTAACGCACTCTTCGAGATTGTCATTATAAATAAAATTTTTCTCTTCTTTCTCCTTTTTAGCGTTACTTTTCCAATTTTTTGAGGGAGATATGGTAAATATTTCTGGTAATAGTTTCGTGAAAATAGTCAAACACCAGGTCTACCTGTATATGTATCCAGATTACGCATGTGCAATACCCCGTTAACCTACTCTCCAGTATCACTCTATAATACATTCAACTAAGGAGTTCGATTCTGGGTTTTTTTCTGTTTAATTCAGACTTAAATATAGGGAAATAAAAGAATATAGGAAAGTTAACCCATACAAAAATGTGTCAGTGTTGGGGAATTCCAAGGTAAGCAGTCATGGGTGGATGCAGATTTTTTTTTTCATGTGGCAGTGGCAAAATACGCTTAGTCAACCAACGCCCCCACCCAAGTAATTAAAAAAAGTTTCAATAAAACTAACGTTATTAAACTCAAATTAACTAGTGTAATGTAAAACTCCAATGTAAATCCTGGATCCTTCCAATAAATCCCCTATGATCAGCGTTTATCAGCGCTTTTAAAATAATGATAAAATTGACATAAAATCGGAACCATTCTCCTGAATAAAGGAGGGCAGGGGTTGAGACCGTCATTAGAAATATTAAAAATGTATGAATCGATGAACCCAATCAATTAACAATTTGATGACAAATGAAATCAAGACAATGCTATCATTCCATAACACAGTCTTCATATAAATACTACATGCGTCGAGAAACCATAATTAGGAGAGAGAGAGAGAGGAATATTCTCTAGCATAGTCTAACACATACGTATTTTAGTTCTTGGATCTAGTAGAGTCATAGAATTATGAAATAAAAATTACATTCTCATCCTCGCATTCTTCTTAGCCTCGTTACCGAAGAGGTGATCACAAAATGACAAAAGATAAGACGTTAAAAGACTGTCCGGTTTTTAATATTAGTTCTCCCTAAAGCTAATTACTTCTTCTCTGAGGCTAATAATTCTTGAGCAGATGTTGGTTTGTTTGTTGACCTGTATACGTCAAACAAGGTTTAAGGGAACGTTGACTTGCAATAATAGATGGCAAACAATCTTAGAATTCTGTATGATATTGATTGTATTATAAAATATCAACATGATAATAAATAAAAATGGCGTTAACGAGGTTGGTGACTTAAAACGACATGGGATGTAACAGAAGGAAATAAATATTTAAGGGGGACACTTCATATGAATTGCGAATACGTCATATACATGTACATTAATATGAACTAAAACTATGTGTGCATAACTACCATTGCTATCAATGTGAAGGTGGCAAAACTGCAATATCTACGTCAGAACTGTGAAATTATTTCAGCAAAGATAAAAATGTCATTATCCATGATGAAATTAAAAAAAAAACACTCAGGAAGGCATTTAACTTACTTAACTGTCTTTAAAATCAGATTTTTGTGGGTTTCTTTTTTACTTTTTTCCGGAAATGTAAGTTAATTACATCTCTGATTAAAAAAATCAATTACGGTAATTTCTCACACGATGCTCTCCCCCTTGTCATTAAATTTCCTTACAGGAGAGAGAAATCGTAGTAACAGTACATGTAATTACGATATAATCGTAGTAACAGTAATTACGATATATTCGTAGTAACAGTAATTACGATATAATCGTAGTTACAGTAATTACGATATAATCGTAGTAACGTACATGTAATTACGATATAATCGTAGTAACAGCAATTACGGTATAATCGTAAAAACAGTACATGTAATTACGATATAATCGTAGTAACAGTAATTGCGATATGAGCATAGTTACAGTAATAAAATTATAATTACGATATAATCATAGTACATGTAACAGTAATTACGATATTAGAAATTTGGACTGTACATTTTGTGTATGTTGTCGATAAAAAAAAATCCATCAGAATGAATTAGGATGCTAAATCATCAAAGCTTACTAATAATAATTACATTTTCGATTAAAAAGTAACTTGATTTTCGATGCAGCCTGTCTTTATTTGTGAACACATTTATAATATAAACCAGGTGAATTAACAACAATATCAATTTTTTGCATATCACATTCAGTTTCATTACGAGATTATACAATTTAAACAAAACGTGTTTTAAATAACATGTATATTCAAGACAGTGTACACATTGCTCAAATACGACAGTCGTAGTTATGATTTTACGCGATTTCAGCGATCGAGAATACCTCTTAAATAAAGTCAACGTAAACAATAAGAGCAATTTCACGTTTACATATATTCTATGTACTTATAATTTTGGTTCAGTGTCATCTTTAAGCACTCACCTGTTAGATATGCTCTGTAATATTATAACACGTCCTTCCAACTCAACGCCGAAGAAAACAATGTCACTCCCTACGTAATTTTACAGAACCATTTCTTGTAAGCATAAGAAATCGATATCATATGATATGATGTAAATATAATCCACAATAAAATATATTTTTATCGTAAACATTTGTTTATTGCTCACTAGGAAATGATATTAGTTCTATACCTGGCGTCAGAAAAAGCATGCTTGTTTTCTTTCTACCATAAAATTCTGCTGCCATGGATCCAGAAGGAAGCGAGAATAAAATCGATGAGTTTCCGGAGTCCTTTGGCGATGGAGATAAAGTATTACAATAAATTGATCAGAAATGGAGGTAAATCTAAGGTGATACCCGGTAGTCATTTGGGAAAGCTACAGAGATGCCCATTATGGTAGCGCATGTTGACAAAACTGTTAACTTGTATGATCACGGCATACATGTAATATGTCAAAGGATGTTTGCCAACAAATTGATGAGGCTCGTTCTAATTACTTAATATTTTCAATTTGTTGACAAGATGCGCTATAGGCAGTAGGTGG